ATTATAATCTTATTACCAGCATATCAAGAATTTTTATCTGTACCTACCTATATATTATATAAACTATACATATAATTATATAATTTGCTACAATATAATATGAAATATAATATAAAATACTACAGGGTAGTTTTTAATATGTTACTTATAAGTAAGTTATAACTCTTAAATACGGTAATTCTATAATGATTTTATTTATAAAATAACTTTCTAATAAGTAATAATAGTGCGGGTAGACTTCTAACTTCTAAGACAAATCCTTCTAAATCTACACTATCCCAAATATTCTACGAGTAGATAAATAGATAAGGCATGTTGTATTGAAAGCTGCAAAATCGTAACGACATAATGATGTCAACGGTAAYATAATATCTCTATCCCCTCTCTGACCCACAAAAATTCTTATGATAAAGTACATCGATAGATGATGCRAAAATTAACAAGCTAAACAATATGAAAGTAAAAATAAACAAAAAAGAAATTAAAATTTTTAGTTATTTTACGCTCCGGTCATCATTTCCAGTGCCTTCACATATTATGCGCAATATCCGTCGGTAGTTAGTTTTCAGTTTTTATATAGGTATAATATACCTAATATAAATACCTATATTACATAACTAGCTTTATTTGATTTGATTGTTCATAATTATGGTATTATTATTATTAATGTCATGTCGAAAAGTTATTGTTGTTTTAAAATCTGTGGATATGTTTTTCAACTTAATACAATAACTTTTTACATATATTTATGAAATTAAAAAATTAAAACTCTACGACATGGTTAATAATATTGTCTTCTATATCATGGAAATTATGACACAAATTTCGTTTCTTCAAATATGAATGTAGCCTGAGTGGTTCTATCCACAAGAAACAGTTTTCACAAGCAATTTATTAGTGTGTGGCATCCTCTTAATTTTATTGTACAGTTATACTTCTGTATACTGAATACTGATATAATATGATACACTATAAAGTATGTCTGGGTATTAACGAGTTAATCAGTCAAAGTTAAATTACTTTTAACTAAGTTGAATGACAAATACTTTCTTTTTWAAAAAAAAAAGTATCTTCGGACTGAATTAATTAATTTTTTCCCATGATATGCGCAGTTACTATAATCAATTAATTAATAGTATATAGCCACGTTAGTTACATTTTTCATAATTTAATATAAAAACCTAATAGAATTTAAACGCATATTATTGTGTACAAAATAAAATTTATTGTTTTTTTAAATAAAAACAAATCATTAAARACATTATTCATACCAATTATTAGATGAGTGTATAAATTCAATATTAAATAAGTAGTAAAATATCAAACTATTGAAATCACTAATTCTAGATTCTATCGATCATCAAGTATCAAAAAAAAAAGACGTATACAAATACATMTTTGTGCCTACTATGTGAAACTTCAAACGACTAACACAAAAATAATGAAAAGCAAATAAATATAGGTAGTTGTATACATAATTGTAATATTGCATATTAATGGATTATAAAATAGTCCGAATACCTGCATTTAAATATGCAAATCAGACAGAAAAATGACACGAGTATAATACTAATACKATATTATATACGCGTATACTCGTATGCTCTTTTTAATATAATATAATATGTATATTTTTGTTTTTATGTGTTTATACTTTATACTTATATCTAACTATAGCTTATTGTGTATTTATTAGATGGAACCTTTTTTTTTCATTTTAGAAAAGATAAAATATAATTAATATATACAATAGGTAATTTTTATGGTTTTAGATTTGTACAGGGCTTGATGTCGTGATAGAAGAGGGTGTCCAGTGACACTACTTCAAACTTGATAGGGCTGGTGGATATTTAGTTTAATGATGATCATTTTTTTTTTTTACTAACTAATGTTAATTGTCTTTAAGTATTAAGTAGGTTACGTGGCCATTTTCGTTTGAGGCGGCGGATTGGGTTATCTGGGAGTGAGAAAGAGGAGAGGTTAGAAATGAGAGGGTTAAGATGATTAATAGTATTTTTATGAATTTTCATGTAGTGGTTTGACACTATTTCGGAGATAGTTGGGATTTTTGGGTCCTTATGAAGAGTGCGATTGCTGACATACCAGGGAGAATTGGTTAAGAGTTTGAAAAGCTTTGAATTTATTTATGTTAGAGTTTTTAGAGGTTCCCCAAATTTGTATGCCAAAGGTCATTGCAGATCGAATGATTTGTTTATATATGAGAAGTTTATTATTAAGAGATAGGTTAGATCGCAGGAGCTATYTGAATTTATGGAGTTTAAGATTGAGGAAAGATCTTTTGTTTTTTGTATAGGTTGCCCAAGTTAGTCTTTTGTGTAGGTGAAGTTCAAGGTATTTTACGGAGTTTTGTGATTGAATTATTTTGTTATTTAGTTTTACTAGCTGACTTTTTTTAAGATCAAAGGTAAATGTAATGAACKTTGATTTATTTTTGTTGATTTTTATTCTCYATTTGTGGAACCAGTTTTGTAGAAGTATTAGGTAGATGTTCTTGGAGGTGATTTGTGGCAGCTTGTAGACATTTTTTGGAAGACAAAATAGCTGTATCGTCGGCAAAGGTAGCTAAAGTAGAATTATTTAAAAAGATTATACAGCGTAGGAGCTGGAGAGATAAATACGTCATATATAAGTGAAAAAAATGTAAGTGATTTTCAACCAAGCTGAGTTACWTTTTTCCTRTTTAACTATATAAGAAAAGAAGTAAATTTTAACTTAAAACTTAACCCACATTTGTCTCTATTAYTTGATGAATTAAAAAAAATTAGTCAACTTGCTTGCAGATTCATAACGCGGTGTAATCTACCTGACTGCGCAGAAAATGAATTGAAATACAAAATAATAAATAATAATCTAAGGTTTGAGTGTTGCGGTAAGTGTGTATTATATAATATTATAACAACGACAGCCGCAATGACCACGCCTATAATGTTTTACTACCTACGCCGAGACTAGTATAATAAACAATAATAATAATAATGTGATCATCGAGTATTACGCTTGTTTAAGTTTAATATAAAATTATGTTATTATAATTGTGTTATTATAACAATAATATGTACACACGACGGCGACTACAACAATAGGAAAAACGCCAGCGCGCGGAACCACGTTCACCAGACCACCGCGTTTATACCTATATGGCAATATATTTAATATCTATACATGTATAATATTATACTCTTATATTTTATACCTATACGAATGAGTAGAGTATGTAATAACATTGTTATAAGAGTTTTCACCGGAATTAAAGTCGATGCTGCACACGATTTCAATATAACCTGTGCGTGATGTATTACGATAAAAAATAAAATGTATAATATTATTATCATGATGATTATTATTATTATTATTATTATTTGCGCAGTGCTGAATACCACGCGATGATAGACCGAGGGCCGGGCCAGTCTCATTAATATAATATTGTTATTATGTACGGTCGTCGCCGATCTGCGCCGGTAACATTCGCATTTGGCACACTAACCGTTTTAGACCGAGTCATTCGCCGCCGGAGCAGAGTGCATTAAACCGAACTACTACGTTTATTATAATAATATAATAATCACGTATATTGCATATAGTATACTAATATAATATGTATATGCGTATATTATTATGGCAGCAGTCTCGCGCCGGTTGTGCGGAATATAATATAGACGGTGCGCCTAATAACCCGACCCCACCAGCCACTGTACCACCGCCACTACCTCCACTGAAGTATTGAACTCGTATATTATTATTATTATTATCGTAATGATACCATTACCATATTATCGTTAGGCTTTCGTTTGTCCGCCGAACCGACTACGACCACCGTTAACCGCGTATTATATACCTGTACTTGCCCTTACCACCTATATACGACGACGAGTCTGCCGCACAGCGCTGTTCAGATAGCTGTCGTCGTCGTCGTCGTCGTCATCTCGCTACATCCGTTTCAGTGGCATATCAAATCTCCTCCAGTTCGCTCGAAAGCATCTTGAATTCTGCGTGCCAGTTGGCCAGTAGACCACGAAGAAGATCAGCAGGGTTACTGCCGGCCGCGTCCACGTCCCGCCAGAGTATTCGTCCGCCGTGGCTCCGACAAAAGGTCTGTAACGTAATTTTCATAAACGTTTTAAAATTTAAACATTTAGCGTCGTCGGCGTTGTTTCGTCATCGCGCAGTGACGCAGGCGCGAGCCCGTCTAAATAAACAACGTGATTTTAAAATGACAATTC